TACATATATATATACTCCGTTCTGTTCTAGTTCCCGCGAAAACATAAGTAACTAGAACCGGTGGCTATACCTGTTAACAGAAGCAGATGTAGAATGATACGGAAATGAAAACGAACACAAACACCGGAGATTACGTGGTATCCCTGGATGAAATCCAGGACTAATCCACGGAAGAGCTTTGAACGCTCTTCAGTCTACTGATTTTACTGAGTTGAATGATACGTAGAACTTGTACAGAATCGGCGGCCACTTTCACCTCTTTATCTATATCATGCCCTAGGTTAGACTTAGCAGAGACGTCTACCATGCATGAACATGGGCTAGCATGTGGTTTACGTGTGGGCTTAATTAATTAGCATGGGCCCTACACACACACAACACATAAACGTAGCCTAATACATCTTAATACGCTAACATCCTCCCCCAAATTGATGCCGATCTCGCAGCATCAATTTGTTTCCAAGATACCAGTGTCGGCTCGTGGAGACTGCCTTCGTGAACATATCGGCCACTTGCTCTTCTGTCTGAATATGATGTAGGCTGACACGTCCATCCCGTACGAGATCTCGAACATAATGGACATGGATCTCTATGTGCTTCGTACGGTCGTGTAGTACAAGATTTTCAGCTATACGGATAGCACTAGTGTTGTCCACATGCAGAGCCATAGGATCAGAACAATTAACTCCAAAGTCGGATAGTAGCCTGCGAATCCAAACCATTTCAGACCCAACTTCAGACATCGCGCGGTACTCTGCTTCAGTAGAGGATTTAGAAACCTTGTCCTGTTTCTTACATCTCCAGGAAATATAAGCATTACCAAACTGAACACACCACCCAGACGTTGATCTCCGGGTATCAATACAGCCGGCAAAATCAGAGTCAGAATATGCAGTAATCCGAGGCGAGCCGGTGGAGGGAAATAAAATTCCCACTTCCTGAGTACCTTGCAGATAGCGTAATATTCTGTGAATTGCAGCAAGGTGATCAACACAGGGCTCAGTCATGAACTGACTAACCATCTGTACAGCATAGGAAATATCAGGTCGAGTAGCCGATAGATAGATTAAACTTCCGACAATACTACGATACTGAGAGCCATCCTTTAGACGTTCACCGGAGTCTTTCTGCAACTTCAAATTAGTTTCCATAGGGGTTTTAACTGGCTTGCAGTTGTCAAAATTATGTTCACCAAGCAAATCTGATATGTATTTTCGTTGACTCAATAGAATACCCTGATCATTGCGGCTTACCTCTAGCCCCAGAAAATAAGACAAATTCCCAAGATCCTTGATACTGAAGGCCTTTTTTAACCCATCTTTGAGCATAGAAATACCTTGGGAATCGGATCCTGTAATTACCATGTCATCCACATAGAGCAATAGAGCAACAATGCTAGCAGAAGTTACCTTAGTAAAGAGTGACGGATCATTAAGGCTCTGGTGAAACCCCAACTGCACAATCGTAGCCTGGAATTTCTCAAACCAGGCACTAGGTGCCTGTTTGAGACCATAGAGTGACCGATGCAGCAGGCATACTTGATCTTCACGTCCAACAGTATAACCAGGAGGTCGCTCCATATATATCACTTCCTCCAAGTCCCCATGGAGGAAGGCGTTCTTGACATCAAGTTGATATAGAGGCCAGTTGTTGAGAGAAGCAACAGCAAGCAGTGTACGTACAGTGGACATCTTTGCTACAGGAGCAAAGGTCTCGTTGTAATCTACTCCGTGTTCCTGTGTATAACCAAGAGCAACGAGACGAGCTTTATTGCGTTCAATGGTGCCATCAGGAAGCACCTTGATCGCATATACCCATCGACAGCCAATAGTGGGAGGATACGGATCAGGTCGATCAACCACTGTCCATGTACGGTTTGCTTCCAAAGCCCCGAACTCCTCCTGCATAGCACGATCCCAAATTGGATTGCCTTGTGCTTGTTTGAAGGTCGTGGGCACAATAAGGGTATCTACCCCATGAGCAACATAGTCTTGATGGCTGGGAGGTGGCACTCCTTTGTTTGTGCGAGCAGAGACCCGTGGAAGCTGCGGAATAGGAGTCGAAGAATCATTAGTGAGAAATTCCATGGATTCGTTGGAACCCAATGATGAGGTAGGTGACAAGCTTGGAGTTGATGTTGAGCTGGAGGTGTCTTGTGTACTTGGAGTGCTGGTCGCGGGAGAGAGCAGATTTGGAGAGGGAGGAGTACTTGCTGGTTCATTGGATATAAAGGAATCATCAAAGTCTTCTTCATCAAACATAGGTAAATAATTTGACCCACTAGGAAGCTCAAGATCAGAGGCTGACTTCGAAGGATAGAACCAAACATTTTCAAAGAAAATTACTGAGGCGGCTATCCTCATACGCTGACCAGAGGAATCATAACACATATATCCTTTGTGAACACTACTATATCCCAGAAACACACAACGAACAGTTTTGAAAGTCAGTTTTGTACGCTCATGTTTAGGTAGAAGAACAAAACAGAGACAACCGAAAACTCTTAACCTAGAGTAATCAGGATGATGACCATGAAGAACAAAGTAAGGACTTTTTTGAGCAAGAACAGGAGTTATTTGATAGTTGATCAACCGCACAGCAGTGACTACGGCCTCAGGCCAAAAACGACCAGGAACTGAAGAAGCAAGAAGCAAAGCTCGAGTTAGCTCCATAACATGTCTATTTTTCCGTTCTACCAGACCATTTTGTTGAGACACTCCTGGACACGACATTTGACTAAGAATCCCACGAGAACGATAGACATCATGCAAGGGAATTGAGCTAAACTCTCCTCCGGGATCAGAACGAATAATTTTGACTGTTTTACCAAATTGAGTCTGGATCATATTTAAGAATTCGATGGCTACAGAACGAAGTTCAGACTTTTGACGAAGAAAATATACCCAGGTGTACCGAGTAGCATGGTCTATAAACAGCGCAAAATATCGAAAACCCAATCGAGACACAGTGGGAGAAGGCCCCCAAAGGTCAGTATGAATAATGTGGAATGGCTCATTTATGACAGTGGTGCTAGAAGGAAAAGAAATGGTAGATGTCTTGGCTTCAACACAACTGGTACAAGAATGTTTAGCAGAAAATCCAACAAAATTCTTTCCAAGAAGCGATTGTTTAAACATGGTAGTGAGACGCCCAGAGTGTGGATGCCCCAGACGGGCATGCCAAAGTTTCCACACTTTATTAGACAAACTAGAAAAAAACAGGACTCCTAGCCGACGAGACTTCTAAAGATTGAGGACTACTGACAAACCTAGACACACATAGATCACTGGACAACTGACTCGATGATGAAATATCCGAACTCGAACTGTCTTGAAGTTCCTCCAGGTGAAAAATCCTCCCCTGCTTACTCCCCCTTCCGATCTGTCTCCCCGTCTTCAAGTCCTGTATAATACAACCAGTGGGAGCAAAAATAACAGAACACCCTTGCTCAGTAAGTTGTCCGACTGAAACTAGATTAGGAACCAAAGCAGGTACATGTAAAGTCCGAGATAGGGAAATATTAGGAGTATCAACTTTACCCATTCCTGTTACTTCCATTCTATCACCATTGGCCACTGTTAATCCCACATGACTAATAGATTTAATATTTTGCAATGAGTTTCCATCATTAGTCATGTGATTATAACACCCAGAATCTATCAACCAAGGTTTGGGTTTATGCTTACCTTGGAAAGTTGATAATGCCGAGCCTATTGCAGTGGGGAGAGAAGTTTGAAGAGCTGCCACAGCTTGTACCAATTGCTCAATTTGAGCGGCAGTAACACCAGGATTAGCCCCACTAGTTTCTCCACTTTCAACAAAATTGGCAGGTCTATAAGCACGTCCTTGAGGACCTCTTCCGCCGCTAGCTTGAGGTAGATTCCCAGCGTAACCAGCATAGCCTCCAGCTTGAGGTGGATTCCCGGTGTACCTCTCTTGATTACGTTCACGAGTCCGACACTCCAATATAATATGCCCCATCCTTTTACAGTAAACACAATAATTTCTTCTCCGACAGTGCTTAACCAAGTGACCCTTCTCATGACAATGATGGCACTCAAGCATAGCATTAGGCACCCTACTATTAAATTGAGGACGAGACACAGCAAAAACTTGCGAACGCTGACCCAAACCTTGTCTTACCGAGGGATCAGGAGCTGCGATGAAAGTCTCTCCTTCTCCCGGACGAACATCGAACTGCGCTTGAGTCCTTAAGCGTGTCTCTTCACGCACCAGCCCAATGATAACTCCATCAAAATTAATAAACTCCCTGTTCAGAAAAGTGGCCCGAATATTCTCAAATTCTGGCCGCAATCTCATAAGAAATTGCATGACCCTGGTTTGTTGGCGCTCAGCAATCAATTCATCAGTCATAGAATTCGGCCTCAGCGCTAGATGCAGCATGTCCTGCTCTGTCCACAGTTCCTGGGCCGCGTTAAAATAATCTGTGATGGACCGATCTCCTTGCGTCAAACGAGCTAGGGCGGTCTCTACTTCAAACTGTCGGGCAGCACTTGTGGTGGAATATAATCCCGCGAGGTGTCTCCACATCCTGTTCGCGGTAGGAAACATCCTAAGACTAAGGCATGTCGTGGGATCAACTGAACCCAGCAACCAATGACGGATTCTTGCGTCACTCTGTATCCATGTCGACTTCTCTTGAGGAGTTGTAGTGGCGGCAGGTTGAGGAGCAGTACCATCTAGTATACCTAGCAGTCCACGTCCTTCGACGAATACTCGAAATTGGAACTCCCACAACGCATAGTTCGTGGATGTGAGGCGCACCGTTGGCCTCTCTGAATCGGTCGCGGTTGGCTCTGATACCATGTTAACAGAAGCAGATGTAGAACGATACGGAAATGGAAACGAACACAAACACCGGAGATTACGTGGTATCCCTGGATGAAATCCAGGACTAATCCACGAAAGAGCTTTGAACGCTCTTCAGGCTACTGATTTTACTGAGTTGAATGATACGTAGAACTTGTACAGAATCGGCGGCCACTTTCACCTCTTTATCTATATCATGCCCTAGGTTAGACTTAGCAGAGACGTCTACCATGCATGAACATGGGCCAGCATGTGGTTTACGTGCGGGCTTAATTAATTAGCATGGGCCCTACACACATACAACACATAAACGTAGCCTAATACATCTTAATACGCTAACTATACCTATATCTTGATCATCCATTCATATGCATGCCCAGGGTTTCTGACAGCAACGATGGTCCTCCCGCAGGTTGAGAACCATCCTTATCTCCGGATCGATCCTTCCCTTCACCATCTCCTCCACAGCCTCGTACGCTAGATCCACCAGCCCCTCGATCTCCAAGTAGTTCGCCGCCAGAAGTAGGTCCCACAGCGTGTCCTCCCCGACTCCGGCCAAATCACTCATCTTCCACGCTTTGATCACATCTTCGTCGCCGCCGCCGGCATCGGCCTCGGCCGTGGAAGAAGAGGAGTAGAGCTCCTTCTGACAGTAGTCGATCACCTTCGCCAGGATCTTGCTCGTGACGTGGGGCAGCGGGATGTCGCCGTCGTCGTGGCCTTCAATGTGCATGTGCTTGATCGTTAGCGACTGCATCGCCACGGCCTCGTCGACTTCAAACGACTCGCCGTCGCCGCTCTTCAACGTGATCAGTTTCCTCGTTGTGGACATGGTTGAGTTAATCGGGACTTTAGGTTAGGAGAGAGATAGAGTGATTTTGTTTGGTTTAATTTGACAATCGTTCTACCTCAATCTTCTTCTGCTCTGAATTATATAGAAGGGGAGAGTCTAGTCCGAGAGGAAAGCGGAGATTGGATCAGAATCGGACATGGCGGTATTATATTATATACATATCGAGGGCCAAAGGAAGTCACCTTGAAAGAAAACACCTCTTTCAAACAGTTAACACAACATCGACGTAGAAATAATATTCCATCAAACAACTATAAATAATAAGTAATATTGAATTCTATGCCTATTCACTTTGTTAATATATGAAATTTTGGTTTTAAATTTATTTTTATTGAACTTGTACGTTTAATGTTATAGTTGTATCTATATATAAATTTATTTATGTTACAAACTGAATTTGTATTTTTATGTCGATACAAACCGAATTTGTCTCATAGTATAAAGGTACAATAATTATCTTATCGTACAAACTGAATTTGTTTGATCATACAAATAATCGTATGGCACAAAGTGACTTTGTGCTTTATTTTATTTGTACAAGTGAACTTATACTTTATTTTATTTGTACTTTATTTTATGGTACAAAGTGAACTTCTACTTCTTTGCAAACACCAATACATTGGCATAGTTGTTTTTTTTTCCTTCTACTTGATCCACATAAAGTTACACTTAGTAATAATACTTAGTTGGAAGATGTGTAACTTCATAGTTTTTTTCTTTTACCAAGTGTAACTTACTAACTTCGTAGTGATTTCTACTATTCTAGTATATAACCTGTTTGTCTCGGTTCATGACAGTTTAATAAAATATGGCATTCCAAATAAAATAACATATTCTCATATTTAAATATAATATTTAACGTCAATATCTAAATATTTATACTCGAATTCAACAAATTACATCAAAATTTAATTTTTATATCTTTTATTAATCAAATCTATTAAAACAATGTCATTTTACTTAGAATTCGTAATTCTATCATACCGGTTATACCGATGATGTTTATGCCGATTTCATGACCTGGTTCAACTGGTGTGAGTCATGAAACCGGCATGACAACCATGAAGCTAAGCTAGTCATCTAATCTAAGTTTTTGAAGAGCACTCGGGACAGATACCGAGACAGGAAAAAAGAAATGAAATATAAAATTGAGTCCTATTTGGTGTTAAACAGGAAAGCAAGTCTTATTGTACGGATCTGATCCCAAGTTCATACACTAACACATCTCTTCCTAGAGCTCTCTTCCACAACAAAGAGAAGTCTTCCTGCCCTGGAGCTCCCTCAACGTAATTTGAACCCCACTACGTACGTACAACAATTGGTATAAAAAAACAGAACTCGTATCAGGCTTGTATCTAGCTTCGTTCAGCTGCCGGCACAGTTCCAATAGCTTGGCCTGAAATTCATCACTCTGCTCAATGAAGTTTCACTTACAAACAATACAATTCAATCAGTGAGTTGACCAAGACGGTATTGTGAGCAAAATGAGGTGAAAGCTTCAAAGGCATTCTGTCGACCACGTTTCTTTCTACCCAATTACCCACAGCAGAAAATTGCGGAAAAAATGGAGACGCGGGGTATCAATCCCCGTACCTCTCGCATGCTAAGCGAGCGCTCTACCATCTGAGCTACATCCCCACTACTGTCAACATATAGTAATCACGTTAATTGTAGACATTTTAAAACTGAGATACTTGCGGTGCTGTATATGGAATTTGTGGTACCTACAATCAAGCACATTTTGTTTCATTAAGAGAATTATATGCTATGAAAGAGCTTCTTAATCCATGACCTAATCAGCATTAGTATTGTTGCTCCCATGGATCAACTTTCTAGTAAGTGACAAGTGTTCTTCATTAACTTCAACAAAATCTAGGTGTAAGAAGACACAAGAAAAAGAAGAACCTCTGCAGTCCTGCACTCTCTGCCATTTGTTATGTTGACTCTTTGAATCCATAAAAGCTTTAACTCCAAATCAACTCAAAAGTCAAAAGTTGCAATAACTATCAAGATCACATTGTTATAATGAATCCTTGTCAATTGTCATGTACCCCCAACCTCCTAAAAGGCAATAATTCTACTTCCTCCTTCCATCTAGTTGGTTCTTGTTTTCCATCTTCACGATGAAGAAGAGCAATTCTACATCTCTTGGTTTAAAAGTAACATACCCTAAGCGCAGAGATGCGATTGTGAAGAAAGCCACAGAGCTATCTCTTCTATGTGGCACAAATGTTGGTCTCATTTTGTTCTCCCCCAAGGGAAAATTGACTAGCTTTGCTACCCATGGAAGGTTTGTGTTGCCGTGGGATCCTTCCTGCATTTACTCTTCTTCTATTTTTGTAACGGTCTTTTTTGGTGTTGGATGGTACATTCCTAGGATTGAGGATATCTTTCTTCAATACATCGAGCAATCTAATGAACTCCGCAAAGGCTGTGTATCCACAAATCAGGCAGTAATTTACTACTCTCTTTGTTTCCATGAACAAGCACATTTAGTGTTAGTGTTAGAGTGACACATTGAATCACATTTGTGTTCAGAACTTGCACCAACCTCTGAAGCAACTGAAAAGGGAAAGAGAAATGTTGGAAAAACTGGAAAGGTATGGGCCTGTTGTTTGTTGTTATCTTCTTCCTTTTCTCTCTGGTTACATGGATAAGCAGTTTTATTTTGATTATGAAAATCCTTTCTATGTGCATTACTCAATTGGGTGGTGGTTGCAAAACAAGTCAGGATCGAGGTAATCCATCAAAGATTCTGAGTTCTTCATTTTTAGTAAATGGAAACATGCATTGGGCCTAATTATTGTTGTTCATCTGTGTGACTATTTACCCTAGACTCTGGAGGGGAAACTACAACAACTCAACCAGCAGCAGCGGGAAAAGCAAGACAAGATGAAGTTAGTAGTATTAGTAGCAGAAGTGTTTTTGTTTCGTCATCTCTTCTTGTTATCTTGTAACTTCCTAATGGAAAAAAAGAATGTGGTTGGTGATTTTGCAAGCTCAGGTGTTACAACTATGAAATGCATAAGGTGAGTTCAACCAGTGAGGCCTTACTACATCAGCAATTCCTCACTAAAGCAATTCACAATGTTGAACATCTTAAGGCAAGTACATTGTGGGAGGCTTATTATATGGATTAATTTCTTTCTCGTTTCACTATTTAACCCTTCCAGATTCTGCTAATTTTGTTGAGAGTAGGCAAAGATGATCAACATGGAGGAAGAACAGTCGCAGAACCTAAAGAGCATCGAGGTACGTAAAACTCGGATATGATGGGTTGGCTAGTGAGAAGAAGAACATGAAGATTGATGAAACTTATTGTGCAAGTGTGTATCTTAAAAACATGTTCATTTTAGTTGTTTCTAATGTTTGCCCTTTTTTGGTGTTAATATAGGTCGCTGATGTAGATAGTGAAGAGTTTGATGATTTGCTAACATGGGGGGAATATATGAATTCTGAAAAGAACAGGTGATTATTTTACACTTGAAGCTAATGATATGCTAAACAGGCAATTTGGGAAAGAAATTTAGGGTGCGTTTGGATAGATGTATTTCAAATTTATGATATTTGAAATACATGTTTTAAAATGAACGCATTTGAAAGACTAGCATTTGAAATGCATGTAATTCAAATTCGTTGTTTGGATACTCAATTTTAATTTTTTTGTATTTTAAATTTCATTATTTTGTATTTTAATTTTGAATTTTCTGGTCACTTACTACGAATTTTGCTAAATTATAGTTTGGTACTCAAAACTATTTTTCCTTACAATTTAGAATCTGAACTTTCAAAATTTTACAATAGCTCCAGAAATTTTGATGGTAAAATTACATTTTGGTACCTTTATATGTTTTGCCTTACACTATAGTACCTGAACTTTTAATATTTTACAAATAAGTCCAATCTTTTGTTAGAAGGTATTTCAAATGTTATTGAAATGTATTTGAAGTTGACAAGTAATACACTAGACATGCATTTGGAAATCACCCCATGAATTTGGCACAAATCCAAATACCAAATGTAATTAATATCCAAACACATAATTTGACATTTAGAAATCCAAATCCAAATCACAAATACCAAATCCAAATCATTCTATCCAAACACACCCTTATGAATTTTTGTTTTGAATTTTAGGAATGAAGTTATAGAGAGAAACCAAAATGGAGGAACAAGTGGACCACATTTGAGCCTTGAATTCCTAACAAAGCAAAAGCAGTGGAATCTAAATACCAGCTCAGCAAAAATCCCCAACAAAAGAGTTTGACAATCCAAATATATTAGCTGGGGATTTTCCATCTCTAATTATCAATTTACCACTCCAATTGGAGTCATGTAATTCCAATTCGAGCCATGTTGGTGAAAGCTTAATTCGGATTTTTTTTATTTGCAACTTTTTGATCCAACCTTGGGGGGAAATTACTTCTTGCATTCCGTTGATGCTTGATTAAATTATTTATTTCTCATCAATAATGAGCCCCTCAGAATATAGATACTTGTGTTATGAATAATTATCCCATCGTGGGAATAAGCAACACCATTAATACGAAATAGAAGAGAAGTAACATCGATTTTATTTCTTACTCTCAACCACATATTACACCGAATACTAGGGAAAACATATACATAGAAAGGGAGGTAGTTGCTTATTTTAGTGTATCTTTTCCTTCTCCAGGTTTGCCTTTATATAGTCTATATCAATAATGGATAACTTTATCAAATAGATCATTATTCTCATAGTGATCTGAATCATCATTATGTTTAATGGATACTTTACTCGTTCTTATCATATGGACATCTTTATATATTTCTTGATGCTCATAAATTTATTTTGCAAATATGCAAAATTCAAGGGAGAGTCCAGTTCTTTCAAGTTATTCAATAACTTATAAATACTCTTCTAGAGTTTAATCCATTTAATGTCTCTCTACGACTTTCTACCTTTGAACACTCTTCCAGAGTTTCAATGTAGCATACGTATTTCATCTCAACTTGAGATTATTATTTTCTTATGCATAGACATTTGTATGTCATGAAGAACCTTCAACCAATGATTTTTTGTCAGAACATATGAAACAATCATTGTAAGGTATTCTAGGTAAATGCCTTCATCTTTCTCGACATATTCTTCCTTTCTTTATCGAGACTGTCATTTTGTCGATTCTCTTTCGATTTGATCTAGGTGATTTATTGAGTTGAATAATGTTTCGTAGAACATTAACATATTTGCTTCGAGCAAACTAACTCCTTCATCAAGTTGTATATTTATATCATCATCAAGCATGCTTTATAAGTGCACCTGTAATAACATTCACTGGATGCATATATAACTTTCTCACACTGCCAAAAATCATATCCCACAAATAAGCATGACTGCGTACATCTCCTCACAATCAATGGCAAATAATTTGATGAAGACCCTTATGACAATTCGAGCATGATATCTCTTAATCTCTCCCCATTTGTCATGTCTTCATAAAACATCGTACGTGTTTTAGTGGCATTACATACACGTATGTGGGTATGCTTTGTAGGCTAGTTCATAGCTGCCTCACATGCATTGTTACAACTTGGCTAATCATTTGAGTATACTGATCTATAGATCTAACTTCATGATTCTCATTAATATCATATTGCGCGTTACAAAATATAAGAACTTTATCGTCAACGTTGACTTCCTTTCGATTCCATTAAATAGGAAAGCCAATCTTATTGTACGGATCTGATCCCAAGTTCATACACTAACACATCTCTTCCTAGAGCTCTCTTACACAACAAAGAGAAGTCTTCCTGCCCTGGAGCTCCCTCAATGCAATTTGAACCCCACTACGTACGTACAACAATTGGTAGCACAAAACAGAACTCGTATAAGGCTTGTATCTAGCTTCGTTCAGCTACCAGCGCAGTTCTAATAGCTTGGCCTGAAATTCATCACTCTGCTCATGGGATTTGTCTCCGGCCAATAACTTTATTGCATAATCTATGAAGTTTCACTTACAAACAATACAATTCAATCAGTGAGTTGACCAAGACGGTATTATGAACAACATACCCATTTCTCGTAACAGAAGCGCATGTATCTGTTTCCCCTGCTTCAATAGCAATAGCTCAATACAAGAAGAACCAATCAAAATGTCGTAAAAGCTTCGGCAGACATGCCATTCTTTACGTAACCTGATATCAATCTATTCCAAGGAGTCAAATCACTAAGAGGTATTCTGTCGAACACGTTTCCTTCTACCCAATTAACCCAGCAGAAAATTAGCAACGGAAAAATGGGAGATGCGGGGTATCGATCCCCGTACCTCTCGCATGCTAAGCAAGCGCTCTACCATCTGAGCTACATCCCCAATGCTGCCAAAATATAGTAATCACGTTAATTGTAGACATTTTAAAACTGAGATACTTGCGGTGTTGTATATGGAATTTGCTGTACCTACTATCAAGTACATTTTGTTTCATTAAGAGAATTTGATGCTATGAAAGAGCTTCTTAATCCACGACCTAATCACCATTAGTACTGTTGCTCCCATGGATCAACTTTCTATTCAGTGACAAGTGTTCTTCATTAACTTCAAAAAAATCTAGGTGTAAGTAGACACAAGAAAAAGAAGAACCTCTACAGTCTGCACTCTCTGCCATTTGTTATGTTGACTCTTTGAAGCCATAAAAGCTTTAACTCCAAATTAACTCAAAGGTCAAAAGTTGCAATAACTATCAAGATCACATTATTATAATGAATCCTTTCAAATTGTCATGTACCCTCACCCTCCTAAAAGGCAACAATTCTACTTCCTCCTTCCATCTAGTTGGCTCTTGTTTTCCATCTTCCCGATGAAGAAGAGAAATTCTACATCTCTTGGTTTAAAAGTAACATACCCTAAGCGCACGGATGCTATTGTGAAGAAAGCCACAGAGCTATATGTTCTATGTGCCATGGGATCCTTCCTACATTTACTCCTTTTTTTTTGTTTCTTTTTTTTTTAACAGTCTTTTTTGGTGTTGGATGGTACATTGCTAGGATTGAGGATATCATTCTTCGATACATCGAGCAATCTAATGAACTCCGCAAAGGCTGCGTATCCACAAATCAGGCTGTAATTTACTACTCTCTTTGTTTCCATGTACAAGCACATATAGTGTTAGTGTTAGAGTGACACATTGAATCACATTTGTGTTCAGAACTTGCACCAAGCTCTGAAGCAACTGAAAAGGGAAAGAGAAATGTTGGAAAAACTGGAAAGGTATGGGCCTGTTGTTTGTTATTATCTTCTTCCTTTTGTTCTCTGGTTACATGGATAAGCAGTTTGATTTTGATTATGAAAATCCTTTCTATGTGCATTACTCAATTGGGTGGTGGTTGCAAAACAAGTCAGGATAGAGTTAAGCCATCAAAGGTTCTGAGTTCTTCATTTTTAGTAAACGGAAACATGCATTGTGCCTAATTGCTGTTGTTCATCTGTGTGATTATTTATCCTAGACTCTAGAGGGGAAACTACAACAACTCAACCAACAGCAACTACAACAACAATTTACAACATATAATCCATCATAAAGTCTTTGATGGGAATTTTAAGGTTTCTAATCAAAACCAATTTGTACAGGGGTTTAGTAGTGACAACCTCTTGGCATGATGCAAAATCGATATTGCTACATGCAACTGGCATGTCTTCAATAAGTTGTTTCACATGCTTATGCACAAGCATGTGCTACATGACGTTTGATATTGAAACCAATAATATGAGATTTAAACCCACCAATAATCATCGAGAATTATTTTCTTCATATTTAACATTTGTTCATATATGTCCGTAAGTGAATCAATTGTGCAACCAATCTTGCAAACTTCAGGTTGCAAGTTGAGTGACCATTTAGACGATGCATCCATTAAAATCATAAAAATAACTAAATGATCCATATGGTGCATTGATCCAATAATTCATATTGTATACACTAATCACTTATTACTAGTCAAAAGCAAGTTTCTACATAGAAAAGTTTTGTGATCTAGAAGCGTAAAATTGTAATTTTTTAAGTTTTAAAACACGATTTTAACTACATTGCTCATAACCAACTTTCTTTAAGAACAAGCGACACAAGAAAAATCCTTCACTGTGGATTTTTGCTAATATTCTCATCAACGATTTACTTGAACTCTCGATCATACTTTGCATCATAATTGACCCAGGATGGTCCAAACGATCATGCCAAGAAATCAATTTACAACAAACACAAACTTCAGGTTTATGGTTCGTTTCATAACCTTTTGCTTCAGGAAGAAGGATTAGTTGCGAGTAGTAATTCTGTACAATAGCATGTATTATGCAATACGTTAAGAATAAGGATAACAAAAGGGTGGTACGGCTCTTTGACCTTAACTGGAACATTGTAGGTTCGAGCCCCATTGACGCCATATTTCGAACCCTAAAGATTCTTTTAGTAAACCATATCACTACATATTGTAGATATGCTTCTGGCATTTTATGTGGGTTATGTTTACGATATATTACCCTACCAATAGAAAACTTTTGGATACAACATATAACGCAATATCTCAGTATTGCCTCTTGATAATTTTGATATGCTTCTAGCATTTTGTGGGTAATGTCGACCGACATATTACCCTACCTCTTTTGTTTCTTTCCAAAATTTCAAACCAAAATCTTCTCAATATTATCCGAAATCTACCACATCAACATCCTTATCTTATCCCTTTTTCGGCTATAAAAAAACAATATTCCTCCTGTTTATTTCATTCGACTCAAGCCTAAAAATTCATATATCATCTCTCAATTCCATCATTATTCTTCCCTTTTGGGAATTCTTCTCGTTATAAGTCGGTTTAGGGATCTTATCGAGTTCGGGTGAAGCAATGGCTGAAGAAATCTCTTCCGCTCTGATCTTGCTTTGGGTGTCTTTGATCTTTATGATTTTATTTCTCATTGCAATTCTTATCTTGCTAGAGATACACTATCGTAGTCATGAACGCTATGTTTCGATACACAAACGCGAGGATCGTAAGCATGACTAGATTTTTTCTAATCTTTGATCCATATATGATAGTATGAAAAATGAGACTTAGATCTCAAATCATGTATTTGACGTACTCCTGGTACGATAACATTCTTGCATTTTCAATCACTGAATAAATAAATGTTTCACTTCTGGTGAATGTTATTATAGTTGGTAACAGATACCATTTTATCAATTGACATTTTGACTTTGTTTTTCTTCTCATTCACTTCTGGGAATGGAATCATACCAAACTCGTATCTCACGTGTCATTTATCATAACAATTTATTCTTCTGGAACACATATAATTTAGGGTGTGCCTACGGTGACATGCATGTCATGGTTACTTGCACTTTCCGGTCGACCTCAATTAGGATTAGGTCGACCTCATTTAGAATTCGGTCGACCTCATATAGGATCTGGTCGACCTCATTTAGGATTCGGTCGACATCATATAGGATCAGGTCGACCTAATCTGTTGTTTCAGTGTAAAAGCATTCCATGGTGCCAATTGTGGATATTCATATCATACAATTGGCTAGATGGAAATTGAAGACTAATGACTTGTTTTGAAGCTAGAGTGTCCCTCTACATATTGAAGTGGAAGAGAGCTCGATAGGAAATCCAGAAGACCATTTTTTAACCTCATCAAAAGGCTATGCCAAAACTGGGAAACTGCTTGGAAATGGCTGAGTCTGGAAACATGTTTGTGAAGCCTATTTTGGAGCTCAATTCGAGAAGCATGAATGCGAGTCGAGTCCAGGAGCCTCTACCACGTTAAATTAGGTATGTTTTTATAAAAATTCAAGGCATTGGATATCTGTAAGGCTTCAAACAAAAGGGTCGAAGTTGCTACGAAGGCTGTTTTTCTGGCAGACTTCGACCCTTTTGTTTGAAGCCTAAAAGATATTCAATATTTCATCCAATGCCTTGCCTTTGTATTATGAAATACGGAATTTAACGTGGTAGAGACCCCTGGACTTGACTCGTATCCATGCTTCTCAAATGGAGCTCCAAAGTAGGCTTGACAAACACGTTGCCAGACTTAGCCATTTTTAGGCAGTTTCCCAGTTTTGGCATTGCCTTTTGGTCAGGTTCAAAAATGGTCTTCTGGACTTTCTATTGAGCTCCCAAGTACTTTAATGTGTAGAGGGACACTTCAACTTCAACACAAGCCTTTAATCTCCAATTTCCATCTAGCCAATTGTAAGATATGAATCTCCAAAGTAGGCACCATGAAACTGTTTTTACACTGATACAACAGATTAGGTCGACCTAATCCTATATGAGATCGACTGAAAAGTGCATGTCATCGTGACATGCATGTCACCGTAGCAAAGTCCTATAATTTATTGATAATCTATAAATTCCTCCCCTTTACTTGCTACTACCGGAGTATAGTAAATAATAGTTATATAGTATAACTAAAATTAAACATTACCAATATAACACATCTACAATTATACCAACATAAAATCGATTATCAATAAATTTGAATAAACTTATACTGTAATTATATACGAATGGTATATAATTGACATGTATAGCTGTCATATAATAATCATTATAATGTATCCAGCTAGTATTATATATATATCAAAACTTCAAACAATAAATATATAGCAGTTGCAATTATTTTCAACCAGAACATTTATTGTTAGATCTAGAGCATGCATGATTACATGAATTCATGGTCACATGGAAATTACGTTGAGCAGCAACCATTAATGAAGTTACTATATATATAAAAGAAAATCCAGTTCACATAATGCAATTACATTATTTATATTTTAGTTGATATGTATGTTCATGGAAAAGTTCCATATGAAATATAATAATATATATGTGCATGTCTTTTACTATCATGCATAAACACATATATATGGAATATACAACTATTATACATTTCTATTGAAGAAATAGTCGGTTAATATAATTACCTTAATTTGATAACATACTTTCTAATCTTGTGATGACTAGCACTGCTCAATCCACGGAAATTATGTTTCGGTATAGTTGTAGATCGTCAGGATCTTGAATAGGTAGAGCAATCGTGATAAAGATAAATAAATCTATTTTTAGAATTATCTCGGATCTACAGGATCTCGAGTATATAGACCAATCGTTATAATGGTGAAAAACTTTCACCACCAAAGTTGTCTCAAATCTACAGGATCTCGAGTACATCAAACAAGCGTGATAATGGTAAAAAGTTTCTCTTCAAGAATTTGCTCAGATCGACAGGAGCTTGTGCATGTAGAATAATCATGCTAATAACGTATTATGAATAATTATCCTATCGTGGGAATAAGCAACACCATTAATACGAAATAGAAGAGAACTAACTCCGCTTTTATTTCATACTCTTAACCACATATCACACCCAATACTAGGAAGAACATATACAGAGAAAGGAAGGTAGTTGCTTCTTTTGGTGTATCTTCTCCTTCTCTAGGTTTGCCTTTATATAGGCATCATTGCATGAGATAGGATGGTCTTCTCTTTATTGATTGGTAGTGGTTAGGGAAATGGTTGTTGTGAAATCATTATGGACATCTACAACTACATTTCAGAATAACTTGTAGATTAATTAATCATCTACTTTATTGAAGCGGAAGGCGCTAATAGGCGAAAAGGAAAAGCTTTGCGGCGATAGATATTAAATCTAGTCAAATGGAGAATCGACGGCCGAATTCATCGCGGTACAGGAAGCGAGAGTATACGGAGACGGTTGATGACGACGGCAATAACGCTCCTGGTCCTGAACATCATTGGAATCGCCGTTAGGATCTCGAACTCGATCAACAACGAGGATGATGGGAAAGGAGGATCGGGTGCCGACGTTTATTGTGGTGTGGGCGATTCTTCTTGTTGGTGCTGTCGGTGTTGTGGGTGCAGATTAATCCGTTCGTCAGAAGCAGAAAAGGAGATCGGAAGGTGCACGTTCGGAAGGCCCTCCACCGCTGTCGAGCTCAAGAAGTTTGATTCCGACAGGCGTGAGTCTCGAAGGGCGACAGTTACACTTTAAGAGGCTTCAATTGTGGGGGCTAATTGATTCCGACGGTTACAATTCCGGAGCAGATAGTGGTTACAACTCCAGAGGCGTTTCTAACCGCTATTCGCGTTTCAAATACGCTTGCCTCTCTCTTTCCTCCCTAGTTTTATTATTTATTTATTTCCACCAATATAGTTTCGAACTCTTTTAATTTTCCTTTTCTTAACTTTTCGTGTATATAAACTTTTCATTAACTTTACTATAAAAAAATTAAAAATTTTGTTATTCTTTTGACATTGTTAGCTTTGGATTCGGGGTATCCGACTAAGCCTCAATGGCTTGTTTGAGTCCATTTGGTGGAGCATAGTTGTCCTACAGTACAAGTGCTTGTGTGTTTGTTTGTTTTTGCAGGGGCACGTAGTTTTCCCTCGACCATACAAGCATCCATCCATTATACTTCTCAACAGTTAAAGTTGGCACTGGTCCATCCATCATTTGCATGCACGTGGCAATGGGAATGGCCGCTCTAGCTTTTTCTATCGGCAAGGATGATCTATCCTCTGGCTTCTCTGGCTTTGGCGTGTGTTATGCACCCGCTTGTATCCTTTGTTGCATTTCTTAGGATACTGACAGATCTGCCCATTTAGTGGCTAACAAGGCTCTTTTATCGGCGGATTGATTAGCTATCGAGCACCGCATTTGATTATTTCATTTTTTTTTTTACATATTTGTAAGTATACTGCATTGTACACCTACCTATGTCTCTGTACACCTATCTATGAAAAAAATTATTATCTACTTTGTCTGGTAGTATATCGTTGTTGTTGGGCCTAGTTAGATAATATTATAAGGATAATACCATTATAATTGTTCTTTGATACATTTTATGATAGGGAGTAATGAGGGATATATTTGCTTGAGAAATTAAATTTAATAGATGAATTAAATTCTAAAATATATCTTCGTTCTCTCTCATACGTAAAAAAAATACTACTACTAATTCAACGAGAAAAAAATAATACTAAAATATATACAGTCACAACCATTTAATTTGGTCTCTTATAGTTTGTTCTCTCTCAAAAGTGAAAAAATTGCTTCTACAAAAATATACACTCACGACTATTTAATATAGTAGTAGTTTCGATTTTGATGGTTTATAGTAGTATTTTTAAACTTGTGATGTAGTTATTATAATTTAACTAGTAGTGTTTCAACATCATATGTTGTACACAACTTTTCATTGATTTTGTCTATCGTGCATTTATATGTTTGGGCCAAATATTGTAAGTTTCTAATATTTTTCAACTTTGTTGAAAAAAATTCACCCACATGATTTAAATTATCATATGTAATTATCGAATCAGAGCTATTCAACTAATTTCTCTTTTGATGAATGTATAACTCAACAAACTTAGAAGTTGAACATGTTGGTGGTATTAGACTACTCAATAGATAGTGAATTTGTCTTCCGATTAATACAGTATAACTATTGCTCATCATTCACATAATCATTCATCTTGTCACTCATAATTAAAGTAACAAGATATCATTGTAGATCCTTATGTACTCTCAAAATTACTTTGCAACTTTGATATCTCATACTAGCAGAACCATTAAGAATTGAGCTAAGGACTACTATACCATTATTGATCATTATGCACACTTGAGCCTTACCATTTTATCATATATAATGATAAAATGGATTTTTTTTCTGCCAATTTCTCTGTTTGATGAATGTATAAATTAACAAACTTAGCCGTTGAACCTTCTAGTACTAGTAGATTTCTCAATCAATGACATAAATTATACCCAAATTGAAAACAGGTATAACTCATGTTCATTATTTAAACTATAATAGTACAAAAAAAGTGTTGTAAAATTGGTGTTTTAGTATATGAAAAAGGTTATTGTTTTGTTTTTAATTTTGTTGTTCGAAATCAACGTGACATGAAAATTTAATTAAAAGTTTAGATTTGGCTAGTAACTAAATTTTACTTTAATTTATGTATGATTTTATTCAAACATTTCTAAATGCTCATTGAAGCTAAAAAATTAGTTGCTAATGATTTATGTAACAAAAAGTAAAATAGTGGTAAAATATGATACAATAATTTCTCACTTTGTTTTTTTCGGCGGATTGGTTTCTTTGCTCCTCGCTGGGTTATCTATGACAGATCCCAGGATGCGGACGGCTCCGATGGGATGGTCGGATTGGTTCTTTGTGCAGCACAATGCCGGAAAGGAGTCGAGATGGCAGTGGTACAAGTGATGGATTAAGGAAGGAGTCTCGGTTTGGGGAAAGAGTCACACTCCAAGTCAAACCCTAGATTGGGCGCCCGAGAATTATTTCCGGAAATTGGCGGCATCTAGTCGTGATGATTATTTCTCGAGATATATCCAGATCCCATAAAATCTCGAGATTCTACAGAATCGACAGTGGATAAGCTCTGGTAGAGAGACGGTCGAACTCAAAGTCTTGAGGTTAGCCCCATGGTGGGTGTATTTAACATCAGTGAATCATTTCCACCTGTCTCACAAATCATTCAGACTTGGTGCGAATCAAATTCAGTGTTCAGAACGGTGGAATGAACATGCTCTTGAAGGTGAAAACCTAAAAATGGAGATGGTTATACTTCGATTATGGTTGATTTGGTCCCTACCTTATTGCTTTTGGGTTTTTGCTTGGTGTTTGGATGTATTCCAACGGCAGTATCAGGCAAAAAGGAGAACGATGAAAATGGTTGATCATCTGATGGATCTAGATCAAGTTGTCGAGTTCGAGTTGGAGGATGTTGTTGAAAGTATGGAACGGGCGAAGCTCAGCCTGTTGGGGAAGTTATTCATGGAGAACTTGTTGATTCTCGACACCATCCAGCGAATTGTCAAATGAATGTGGAACTGCAAGGTCATGGTCATGGAGGCAGAACAAGGTCTGCTGCAATTTCTGTTCGAGGATGACAAGGCTATGGACTGGGTGCTCCAGCGAACGCCGTGGCTGGTGAAAGAAAGTGTTCTCCTGCTGCAGCCATGGGAACCAGTCTCTCGGTCTGTTGTGGAATCCTTCACATTTGCGTCGTTCTGGGTGCAGCTGTGGGTGGTTCCTTCTCATTGCCGAACGACGGCTTTTGGGACACGCACGGTGCAAGGAAAGATTAGGGAGCCGGCTGATGTTGGGCTATTTGGCATTAAAGGAATGCGAGGTTACTTCATCAAAGTCAGGGTGTGAATCAATGTCACCGAACCTCTTCGCTCACAGGTGTATGCTTTGAATCCGGTGGCTGGAAAGTTCTAGGTGACGCTTGTGTATGAGCATCTCCCATTGTTCTGCTATCCTTGTGGGAGGTTGGGCCATACGGCTGCGAACCGTGGATTTCCTCCACCCAAGGGAGAGGAGCATTATGGTCCTAAGTTGAAGACCAATGAGTCTAGTCATCGATTGAATGAGGCTAATCTCACTTAGATCAATATTACGGTGATACCGAGGTCGGTCTTGATAAATCCAGCTATACAAGGATGACGCAAGGAGGAAGCTGATGATTTGGAGAAGAGGCGACGCGAGGCGGTGGGGCGAGAGACTTCCTCCTCTCCACATGGTATTGTTCTTCCTTTTTCATAAGGGGCCACTCCTTTTCTTTCATTTTCACTTCTCCACGAGACCAAAAGGGAAAGGAGTTAGAACCTTCCCCGGTAGAGGAGAGGGGAGCGAAGGCCACCGGCAAAGAAAAAAGACCAATAAAGATTCACTGAAGAACCAAGGAAAGAGAAATAAATTAATGAACGGCCGAGCTAGGAAACCCTTTGGGCAGGTAGAGTTCGGCTAAGAGTTTCCAAAGAAAGACTTTTCTATTAGGGGACGGTTGAGGCGAACAAGAGAAGCTAGACCAGGAGTGCACTCTTGCCTCAGTCGAGTCGCAAGGAGTCAAAGTAGTGCGGGAACTTTCTCTTGATTTGAACCCTATCGAAAGAGATAGCTCACTTCCGAAAGCAACTCTAACAGAAAGACCGTGAGAGGAGGTTTAACCATTAGATCCAAAGGGATAAGAGAGGCACTGAGGGTATCCCATCTTTTCTTCGCTAATGATTCTTATTTTTTCTTCATGGATCTCAAAATGAGTGCTCGACGCTCCTGGAGGTCCTACGAGAATATGAGGAACTTAGCGGTCAAAAGGTGAACCTCCAAAAGTCAGCAGTCTGTTTTAGCCAGACAGGAATGTGATGGCCATGCGTTTGGGGGTGGGTGTTATTGGCATGCGGGATAAGTACTTGGGGCTACCAATGTTGATCGCACGCTCCAAGTCTGATACATTCATATACGTGGAGGAGGCTTTGCTCAGTAGGTTGCAGGGGTGGAAGTTGCGTCATCTATCGTGGGCAGGGAAGGAGACCCTTCTAAAATCAGTGGCTACTGCCTTACTTGTGCATGTGATGGTGTGCTTTAAGCTTCCGGTTACATTATGTCGTAAGGTGGACAAACATATGGCGCGGTTTTGGTGGGGTTATTCGAAGGGCCGGTCTAATATGAGGTGGATACCCTGGCGTCAATTGTGTAGTAGCAAGCATGAAGGAGGGCTCAGATTACAACGCTTTGAGTTGTTTAATCATGCGTTGTAGGCTAAGGTGGCACGACGTGTTCTCATGGACCCGGAGTCCTTGGTAGCGCGAATCTATCGGGGGAAATATTTTGTGAATGGCTCGGTGTTGATTGCGTGTGCTGGCTCTCGTCCATCGTGGGGGTGGAGGAGTGTTCTTCATGAATGTTCCATCCTTAAGGCGGGGCTGAGGTGGTAGGTTGGCAAAGGGGAGTCTATCCCAATTGTGTCGGGCTAGTGGATTTCGTGGATTCACCCGAAGATGCTGGAGCTTTTGCCAGGGGCGTCTCCATTGGGTTCAACTTGGGTTTCGAACTTGGTTGATCCGGACAGTGGATCTTGGTGTGATGAGTGCCTGCAGAATAATTTCACCGCTCAGACGTGCAGATCTATTCGGGCAATCCTCTTGCCGAGAGGTCATGTGGAGGATAATATTTTGTGGCG